CAGAGCAGGAATTAAAGCCCACCTTTAACAGGCAGGTGTGGTCTTCTCCCTAAGGCTAGTGTTCAACTCTGGGGAAGCTGGCTTCTGATGTATCTGGTGCCATCAAGGTCCCTGACAGCTGTAAAATGGGAAAGAGAGAGACAGGATCAATTTCCAAGTGAAGTATGAACAGAGAGGACAATCAGAAACCACCCTGCAATGCCAAGACATAAACCAAATCTGTTCTTTGGTCAAATCAGACTCAGTTAAGATCCCAAGGCAAGTTCTGCTCCTGTGAAGAGTCACCCTGGAAACCTGTGGGCTGAGAAAGCCACAAACCAAACTGGTACAGAGCAGGACAAACCACTTTATTGCTTGGATACCTGCTGTGAGGCCAGACTGGAGTTGTGAAGGTCGATAGCGGCGAGGGAAGGGACTCGGGACTCTGAAACTGTCTTGTTTTCCTTCTTCAGGAACCTGGAATGCCATGCTGCAAAACACAACCAGAGCAGGCAGTGTTAAGGAACTGAGAGCTGACTTGCAACACACACTGCTTCCTGGCACTTATTTGCTATCCAGGTTTTACTTAGAGGACATCGAAGCTCATACCTTCCACTCCTTTTAGCTCAGGGAGATGATTTAGTTCTGGCAAACGCACCTCTGGCTTGGAGAATTCCCATTTTTTCCTGTTTGCCTGAAGGATGTTTTTTTCATTAGTAACCTGTAATCAAGGGCATAAGGATCAGCTCATTGAAATGTAGGAAAAATACAGGTGTTCTCAAGCTTAAAAGAAGCATCAACATGCAATGTCCTGCTGTAGTTGAAATTTGTGTAAAAGACACTGATGTGTGAGAAGGAATTCAATCTGCTCAAGTGTCATTTGTATGTTATAAACAATGGAAAAGCAAAAGAAAAATAAAAACAAACATCTAGGCAAGATGCTTCCAGAGGGATAAAATACACCACTTGGAGAATGAATGTCTGGGAGCAGTTATCTGGATAAAAGCAAATGTTCCTTGCTGGCACAGAAAGAATCTTGTGTAGGTAGTGAGAGCAGTGGAAAGCTTTCCATTTCCTTTGTTTTCAGAATCAATTTGTAATGCATTTATGAGAGGCCCTGACCACATTAAATCCAAACCCTCAGCAGCACAGCGCACACAGTCTGCTTTTCCTGGCCAGGCAGGAGGCCATGCATGTATTCTAAATCTTACAGATATCCTCTGTTGGACTGTTTCCCTCGTTTGAAACTGTTCTCTGACACAAAATGTGTTTCATGTAAGATAACTAACAGCAAAGGATAACAAACCACAAACCTGTAGGAAAAAAAGGGGTAAAGAAAACACTATTTCTAGCTGGGAGTTCTGGATGGAACAGATGGAATTCTTGTGTATGAAAACACCTAGCTGAGTTCTCAATTTATTCTTGCTTTGCCAAGGGGGAAGGACAGAGGACTCACCGATGTCAGGCTGAGGCTGTAATGTCCCACTGGAGAAGGTTTCCTTTGCTTTAGCAATGGGTTCAAGTATTTTTTACTCTTTTCATCAAGTCTGTAATCAAAAATGCCCCAAACCTTGTATTAACTGGGCTAACACAGCAAATATAAAAACAACAAATGCAAAGTATCCCAAACCCACATCTCACATTCCCATGTTATCACCCTGAACCTCTCAGGACATCACAGTTCCTTATCAACAGGGATAAAGCTCTCCTAGCTCTGCTCCCATACCTGTAGTTAAGGCTCCCAGGCACAGGACCCATCCCAAATGTAGGAGAAAAGTTCTGGTTGATGGGAGGGATAACCATCCCTGTGTTCTTGGCATAGTCCAAGCTGCTGCTTGAATCTTTCAGGCTGGTCTGAGGGCTGATTTTAAAGGGGTTGATGGCGCTGTCATAGAGGGAGCTCAGGTTGGAGGATCGATCTGCTTTCTCTGCATCAGCTTTAGAGTGCTTTGTCTTCAGCAGCTTTGCATCTCTGCTCCTTGGGCCAACACTGAAATCCTGTTTGGGAAGATAAGCATTGCCTTTCCTTACAGCCATGTTAAAAAAGTAGCTTAGAGCAGTGCATATAGGGAAAAAAACCCAAAGGATCTGATGGACGTGGAATTGGTTTTATTAGAAAATCTCTGGTTTTCATCATATGGGAGGAAACTTGTCAGGAAACTTCCAGCACACTGTAAATAAGTCACCTTAGAACAGAATCAGAAAGAATGGAGGAAGCACAGCTGTATCCTGTCTTTAGACACTGGAAGGGGCTGCCCAGGTGGGTGGTAGTGGGAGTCACCATCCCTGGAGGTGCTCAAGGAGAGACTAGACATGGCACTTAGTGCCAAGGTCTAATTGACATGGTTGTGTTAGGTCATAGGTTGGACTCAGTGATATCAGAGATCTTTTCCAGCCTTAATGATTCTGTGATCCTGTGTCACTTCTAAATAAATTAAATACAACCTCATCCCAATGTCACCTCAAAGTCACTCTGAAACCCCCTCAGTACCTGACTGAAAGCAAAGCATGTCATTTTGGAGACAGGGCTTTAACAGCAGCATAAAACATGTTTCCATGATTCAATGTGACATGCTTCCCAATTGTTTCTCCCTTCAGCTCTGTATTGCCAGGAACTGCATCACCATGTAGTTCACCTGCAAGGGACTGGCCAAAGCGCCATCTGCAGACTCCCAAGCTACTTGCTATGAATTTAAACTGCTGCACATATTTATATAGTGATTTTAAAACACGGAATTAGTGATAATAAAATGGAGGTTTGGAAAACAAAGATGGACCAACCTGAACACTGAGCATTCTTCTTTCTTCTGAAACATCATCTTTGTCTCTTTTGCTGGTTTTGGATTTTTTGTGCAACTGATGGTCTCTGGCATCTTTCTGGATCTTCAACTTCAGCTCCTGAGTAAATCTACATTCCATGTAAGGAGAAAGGGAAAAAATAAATAAAAGGGTTTCTTTTAATCTTAATATCATCACCAGTTGTTCAGCCCAGGTTCCTTCTAAGTAAAGGCCTTAGCCTCTTAAGTAATCAAACAAACTGTGCCTTTTTAACTGAGAACTAAGTCAGATATGATGTATAAATCAAAACAAATCACATCATAGGCACACACTTTTCACATTAATGTAATAAAGGTGTTGGTATCCCAGTCTGGTGTAGATGCAGACAGTGTAAGACTTGTATTGCCCAGTATGGTGTGACATTGGGTGAGCACAGTGATGAATTAGTGCCACGACAAGGTAAATGTGCTGCTGCAACACATTCCCTTCCAACAGCTCTATTTCCAAGAAGGCTAAACCCAGCACTTCATGTACAACTACTTCCCTTTTCATCTGTGAGCAGGAAAGGAGCTGTTTACCTTTCAGCAAACCCATCCTTGTTGAAGTAATCATGCTGCAGGAGTTCAGCACAGGATGGCCTTTTGTCTGGGTCAATCTGCAAACACTCCTGAAAATCGATGTGAACAAGAGAAGGCAAATGCATGAGGAATGAAATTAAGGATTTGGCATTTCTGGGTGAAGGCAAGAACAAGGCTCCTCCCTGGAGGACATGCAGTGACCCCTCTGGCTCTGGAGGTGACTGGCTTAGTCCCCCCTGTCACCCCAGATAGTAGCTGTGGTGTCCTCATGGAGCTGCCAACCCAAGCAAGTTGAGGGAAAGGCAGTTTAACAGCCCTGGGGCTCCACTCAGCTCCCCAAGGTGAAGGACAAGTAAAGAGAGAAACATTCATAGGAAAAAATCAGTTAGTTACCTTGGCTAAATCCAGCACTAGAGCAGGGAGTTTGGGATAGCGTTTGTCCAGGGATTCGACCTCCTTCACTTCAGGCAACCTCATGCCAGCAAAGAGGGGATTTTTATAGAATAACTCTTGGTGTCTTGGAATCAAATTACCTGGAATCACACAAACAAAGCAACCACATGGGAAAAATACAGGACTGTCAAAGATTTGAGAGGCTGAAACACTGAGTCAACACTACTGTGAGGGTACAGTCTGGACTGTTCTCTTCCCACAGGGATGGATTTGATCCCTTCATTACTGAGCAGGCAACAGGCTTCTTACCCAGGCACTTGGTGATATGGTAGAGCTGGTCAATGTCTGAATCTCCAGGGAAAAGGGGCTCTCCTGTAAGCATTTCTGTTATCAGGGAGCCAATAGCCCACACATCCACAGCCCTGGAAAACAAACCAAACACCATCCCAGCTCAGCGTGGCTTCACTTGATCCAAAGGCTGAGCCAGTGCAGAAGGCAGAGCATCCTCTCCATGCTCCCCACAGCCCTCTGGAGCCTCACAGACTTACTTGCCATACTTGCTATCTCCCACCAGCAGCTCAGGAGCTCTGTACCACCGGGTTGCCACATAGTCTGTGTAAACTTCCCCAGAAGCTGCCAAGGGCCGAGCGAATCCAAAGTCACAGAGTTTTACAACTCCTGACTGGGAAACCAGGATGTTCTCTGGCTTGATATCTCTATGGATTATCTGCACAGGGGAAAGCAAGTCAAGATAAATACATTCCACATAATAAACTGACTGGCTCACCTAAAATATTCAGGTAGGAAATTACAGGTAAACACTCTCATCTTCTGCACAGAGAAACGTGGTTTTGTACCTCTCCGTATATATCTTCCTTTCCAGCCAAATCTGTATTTCCCTAGTTTTAATACAAAATATATACTTATTCATTCAAGGTTCACAGATGATTTCTTGCTCACACTTACATTGTGACTGTGACAAAAGGCTATTCCTCTCATTATCTGAAACAGGTATTTCCGAACTCTGCCATAGTCCAATCCATTGGGAGATGCCTCAAGGTCATCCAGCACTGTGTGATCCACAAACTCAAACACCAGATACCACCGTTTCTTCCTCTTACACACTTCCAGCAGGTTCACAAGGTTCTCATGCCTGAGTTGCTGTTATAAAACAAGGAATATTTAGTGAGAGAAGGACCGTTTATAATGGGCCAACTGGAAATGGATGTTTTTAACTGCAGTCCATTGGGACACAGCCAAAAAATGTAACCTAAATAAAAAGAGGGGGGAAAAAAAGCAGCTGTATTAGATGTATTTTCTAGTTATTTTGTCATCAAGTTCTGACCAGACAAGAATCCACCTCCAGTTTGTTACACGTTTATCCCACCCCAACAAAACAGGCCATGCTACAGTGCTCAGTTATTTATTAGCTGGATCCTGGCAGGAAAACATCACCTGAGGCTGCCTGGAGGCAGCACTTGAGCCCAGGGATGTGAACAAGGAAGATGCAAAAGGAGTGCAGAGCACAGGGAATTGTAGAGGGAACTCTGCCAGGCCAGAGGCAGTGCCAGCCAACCTGCACCTGGGGCTGCCAAAGACACAGATTTCTTAGAAGGGCTGAAAAGAGGAGATTTTAAGGATGATCTCTTTTCTCAAGAATTATTTATTCCCACTACAGGAGACCTGAAGAGGTTTTGCTGTTTTCAGCCAGGATTAAATTTCTCCCCAAACTCCAGAACACGAGCAAAGGAAAAAAAAACCCAACTAAAACCAAAGATTAGATTCACAGGGAGCAAGTGAAGGAAACTACAGAGAGACTAAATCTCCAGGTGTTTACTTTCCCTGTGAGAGGCCACACTCACTGTGCTATATATGGAAATGTTCCCCATGCTGAGATTCCATTCACCCAGGGAAACAAGTTATTTCCCAACACACCTGGGAGGTGCCACATGCTGTGACTCAGTAACTCGGTGAGCCTGGCCAGCAGGTCAGGCACAATCCAGGCTCACACAGATCCAAGAGTTTGGAAGGATAATGCTAGGAGCTGCTGGCTGCGTCCCAAGCTCCAGCATGTCCATTTCTATTAATTCTAAAGGTTCTGTAGCCCTTGCAGTGATGGCAAATATCACTTCTCTTTTTTCCTTTCAGAGCACAGGAACTATAATGTGGCAGATTTAGGAAGAGACACTTATGGCAGCCAAGAGGACAGGACACAGGTGTGCTGATATTCCCACCTCTGGAATACCCCACATCAGAGGAAAAGCGTGGATGCACTCCAAGTATATTAAGACTTTCCTTCATTTCTTTACCAGACATGTCACCCATGTCCCAAAGCTTAAAACTCCCATGTGTACCCACACACAGGGATAAGCGCTCCTGTGGGACATGGAAAGAGGGAAAATGCTGCAGCTACTGACAGAAGTTACAGAGGCAAACACAGGGGCTGAAGGTGGTCAAAAGAGGGATGTCCTGGCATGGAATTCCACCCTGCATCTTTGCCATTCTACTCATGAAGGAACACAGCAAAAAGACTGGCAGTGAGACAGTTCAGGAACTTGCAAAATGTTCTGAAGGAGGAATGAAGCCAAGAGAGGCAGCAGAAAGACCATATGACAAACAGTGGAGAGCACACACTCAGGAAACTGTATTTACCTAAAATTTACAGCCCATGAAGAGAAGCACCTTTAACACACCAGCCCAAACCATGAGGTTACACCACAGAACAGTGCTGATAACAAGCCAACAAACAGGCTGAAGGACAACTGGACATTTCTCTGAGTGAGTATAAAGCATCCACAAGTGATCACAGACTGGTTTGGGCTGGAGGGACCTTAAAGATGACCCAGTTCCACCCCCTGCCATGGGCAGGGACACCTTCCCCTAGCCCAGGGACAACTGGACATTTCTCTGAGTGAGTATAAAGCATCCACAAGTGATCACAGACTGGTTTGGGCTGGAGGGACCTTAAAGATGACCCAGTTCCACCCCCTGCCATGGGCAGGGACACCTTCCACTAGCCCAGGTTGCTCCAAGCCCCATCCAACCTGGCCATGAACACTCTCAGGGATGGAGCAGCCACAGCTTCTCTGGGCAATCTGTGCCAGTGCCTCAGCACCCTCACAGGGAAGAATTTCTTCCTAATATCCAGTCTAACCAAATTTGAATCTATTCCCCCTTGTCCTGCCACTACAATACTGACACCAGGCAAATCCCACACTCCAACAGCAAAGGCTACATATGGATTGATCAGGTTCAGGGAATCTCATACCTGTCCTCCTCTGGCCTCTTGCCTGCCAGGAATGTGCCATGAAGAAAAGAAAATACAGGAAAACTTTCCCAGAAGCACTTTTTTTTCAGGATCAGGCAACAATGTGATTAGTGTCACACACTGAAGTTCACCATTCAACTGCAGGTTTTAAGAGCTCAGCGTTTCTTTCACTCAGCCAATCCACAGCAGCAAGGAACGGGAATTTCGGAGGAAAACAGGGGGACAGTTACCACCAGGAGGCAACAGAACACAGGACGCACACATACAGACTTTTCCATCCAGGATAACCCTTCCTAGGGCAGGATTCGGAGGGGAATCCCACAGCAGCCAGGCAAAGGGAAAAGCAGCTCCGCAAGGCTAAAAAGCAAAAGCTGTTAGTCCGGAATAGCTCGGCTGCCTATGGAAACACAAACAGGTCAGTTCTGGCTCGGGCTGTGCTAGTTACACTTGGCAAGAGCTGACCAGACCGTGCTGCGACAC